TCCCCGCCGCCATCTTCGCTGGCCGCCATCTTGGGGCGCCCCCTCGCCCCGCCCGCCATCTTGGGGGTGCCCCCCACCTCCAGGCCCCGCCCGCCATCTTGGGCAGCCCCTTCAGAGCGGCCTGAAACCGGTTTCCCTGCCCCAGGGGAGCCCGGTACTGACCTCGGGGGTGCAGTCCAAGGATCGGGAACGTTTAATGCGAAGAAGGAAGGTGTTTCCTGAGGGCAAAAATAAGCCAAGGTAGCAAGCGAAACCCTCTCGCCCAGAGGATCTTCCATGATTCAACCGCTTAGAGACACCCCAAAAGCAGTGGGAGCGGGAAGAACGGTGATAAATGACTATGAACCGTGCCACAAACTATGATTCTTGAGAAGAGGTAAAAAAAAAAAAAGCAGGCAGCAGCTTAAACCAAAGCCGCAGAGAGAAGCGGAGCACAGAGTGGGAGGAGGAAGCAGGTGGAAATGATACCTTAAGAGTCAAAAGACCCCCAGATGTAAGCGGCTTATATGCATAAGATTTAGGCCTTATTGTCTAGTTTGCTGATGCTTTGCTAAAGTCAGCATTGTCTAGTTTGCTGTTGCTTTGCTAAAATCAGTAGTGTCTAGTTCGGATGTTTTTCTCAAGTGTGTAGTATAGTTACTTAGTAAATTGAGAACCCTGTTCAAGGAGGGGATGAAGCAAAAGGATAATAACGGTTTGCCAAGGTTGCTAGACTAGAAGGAATGAGAACTAATTGACGCAGGAAGATTTGTGGCTCCTTACGAAGGACAGTTTTTGATAAGAACCAGGAGTTTACCTTAAGAACTGGTTTACACCGACCCTGAAGTTTGGGCAAGAGCCAAGGAGCAACATGAGTCTGCGCAAGAACAAGGGGTTACTAGCGGTGACGAAGAAGAACCGTCAGCCTTCATCCCCACGACCCCCGATGACCACCACAAGTAGGCACTGAGCAAGCACAGTGGGGAGGGACTTATGGAAATGACCTCCTGAAGCTAATTTTAATACAAAGCGGGGACAGGTTGTGCATATGTATAGGCATATTGGGAAACTTCATGCATATGTAACACTTTGCTGTATATAAACGGGACAAGTTGCCACTTGAAGGTATGCACGTTAGGTGGACCGATCCCCCATGCATCCCGCGCCGTGAATAAAGAATGCCTGCCTTTTAACACTGCATTGGTGTTGCGAGGTTCGTTCTTCCCAATTTCGGTGACAGAAAGGGTAAGGGATGAGCTTCGCCACAGCTGGAGGGGTCCCATGGAAACAGACAACAAGGAAAGGGAAAGGTACCAGCGTTTTCAGTTTCTTTCAAGCTGGGTTCCCCTGGGTGAATGTTACAAAGCACAGCCAGCGTGCTGTTAGATTTCAGCAGCGGAGGTGTTAGAAGAAATTGTCCCATCATCAGGTTTTCTTGCTGACTGATGCCAGGTGACCCAATGGTCCTGCATTGTCCACCCTTGCAGACGGCGGCTTCCAGGCTGGTTTGTTCTATGTACTAATACATAGATCGCTTCGCTGCGTAACCCCACAACAAGGGCATGTAGGTATCCTCAGGTCCCTGCAGGACACCTTACCGCTTGGGGAAGGCGCAACACGGCCAGCTCTCCAGCAGCCATCACGCGCTGGGCTAGGCCGTGCGCGGAGCACAGTGCTGAGATAGAATCGCTTTGGTTGGAAAAGACCTTCAAGATCATCGAGTCCAACCTTCAACCTAACCCTGTTTTATTTTTTTTTTTTTAAATTTAAAAAAAAAATAAATAATTAATTGTCTGTATTTGCTTTCTTCTCCAAAACAGTTTTTACAGTCCTGTGTCTTTCTGTATTTCAGCAGTTGCATTGTGATTCAACTGCTTCTTCTCTCAGTATTGGTCCTTCAGTTTTGTCTTCCATGTTTCAGACTGCAACGCACTCATAGGAAGTCTATTTGATGTCCTTCTGGCATACATGGAGAGTCCGAGCACCAGCCCTACTGTGAGTATAGAACTAAGGAGAGATCCAAGTCTATTAGCTTGCCCCAGTGGGATGTAGTTCTGAGAAACTGGGCTGCCCCCACTGGGCCCTGGCTCATAAATTATAACCTAATTAAAGGCAGGGCCAAGGCCGCGAACCAAGGGCAGCAGCGCAGCTTTAGGGAATCGCTGTCCCAGTGCTCGACCTCCCCCGGCGCCGCGGCCCCCGCCTGGGGGCGCCCCAACAGCTGGAGCGGGGGAAAGGCGAGCGGCGC